TAAAAGTGAAGTTATGGACATGGTCGACAAATTTTTTGACGATGATGACGATTTTAACTTTGGCTTTGGATCAAGAAACAGTAGGTCTAATGGAACGAGATACAGCGACAGAAATTTATCATCGAAACGCCGAGAAGAAAATCCATATACAGTACGCGACGATTTAAGTAAGTACAGGGGATCTGTAGAGTCAGTAAATGCTAGCTTAGCACGCTCAGACTATGCTGCTTCGGACTCTGGCTATCCTTTAACGGGACGAAGGAGAAATTTGTCTGATGTAGACGAATTTGATTCCAGTTTTTCAGATATTGCGAGCGACACCGGCCATCGTAGGTTTTCGCGCCATAAACCTGAAAGAAATAGTTACTCAAGAAGAAATGATCACTCTGAATTTGATTCAAGAGCAGCATCGCGCGCTCACCAAGACGACAATTATCGATACTCACATTTGTCAGATAGGAATACAGCAGTGTCAGCAGACGACATTTTACAAAGGGCGGGAAAATCAATACGCGGTAACAGAGATACTAACACATCGATATCAGATCGCAGTGAAAATACTAAACATAAAAGGATAAACAATTACAATTTAGAAAGTAGAAATGACAATAAGTATTATAATCGAAAGGACGGTGAATATTCAAGACTCGGTGACAGTGCGTTTGAGATGAATGATGAAGACAACACGTGTGGTTCAGTAAATTCGATGCCGAATAATGCATTTAGATCACAATCATATCAAGCAGACGACGAGGAGTTATACACAAGGAGTTTACCAAATTTATCTGAAAGTGAACAAAGTAGCCGGAGACAGCAACATTCGTCTGCTGATGATAAACAACATTGGAATGACAGACGAAAACGAATAGATAAAGCATTAACATGGATACGGTCCGAACTTGTAAGTTACTTTTCTTCTTTTCTGCTTTTAAATTTGTTTGATTGGATTTTACACCACACTGACAAAGTATAGGTCATATGGCGAAGTTCCAGCTTTACTGATAAAAGAGCATTTAATTTAATTATTTAAAAAAATGAAATTAATACTATGATGTTATAATATTTGTATAGCCCAGTATAAACGGTTGTTATGTTAAATAACGCGAGTTTTTATGTAACCATATTTATACATAGCATGTTAAAAAGCTTAATTAACAAAGGAATTTACAAAGACTACATAATGGCTCTCTTTGAATAAAACTTAGAAAACTGCATAAAATAGAGAAAGACGAAATTCCGGAAGAACATCCAAAACAAAAAACAAATAGAAATTTTGCAGGCTCGGTTGGATTGAGCCTGTTCATGGACGGTAGTGATAACTGCAAGCTACCGTCCACGCCCCCTAGGGCCGCTTAAGCAGAATTCAATATTTTAACATAAAATTGTTGTTCAATGAAAATCGCCGTAACTTTTTACACTATACCGGTATGTCTATGTCCTTATATGCACCATTTATATAAAATACGCGGCCCTTCATTGTAAATTAAATTGGAAACACGAAGACATGTCTTATTTTATGTATTGTTAAAATTCTTCCAGCTTGTAAAATTAATTAATTCCACAATGTTTCATAGTTAATTAAAATAATTACGTTTATTAATGAAGCGCTCGTTGATTTTCTGCCAGTGTTTTACTGCAGCGCAATAAACTAAATGATCAGGATTAGATTCTGATATCCTAAAATATAACCTTGTACTTAATATAACCTAGTGTGTAACAGTATCCCATGTAGGTGAATATTTAGAATTCTTAAATAGGAATGTTGAATTGATTGTTTTTGTGAAAACTAAATAGATATTACAACATTGTAAATGTGGTGTGAGACTTAAATTTGTCTTTTGACAGCTTTTCTGTAAAATGCATGCTTCATAAGCTCTGATCCGCTTTCGGACTACTGGGGGAGGGCATACGCTGCTTTTCTTGGTATGGTTCCAACGAGTTACATTTATTGTTCCATGATCACCGTCATTAAAGCACATTTATTCAAATTTATCGTATTAAAGTATTGAATTCTGCTTAAGCCGGTGCTGGCTGTGGGACTTGAACGGTAGCTTGCATTTTCCACTAGTTCAGTACTGTCCATGAACAGGCTCAATCAAAGCGAGCCTGCAACATTTGCACGACTTATAATGTGTTCTATTTTGACTACATGTATTATAAAATATGAATTAAAACATTATTTAATAATTTTTTGTTACGCTCTAACTTGACTAGATTTTAATATTTTATTGCTAACAATATTCACACACGTCATGGTTTTAACTCGTAATTCCCTTATGAAATGTCGTAATTTTTGCAATCTCGTATTAGACATTTCAGGTAACATTTCTACTTTATATCAAACTGGGACGTTTATTGAGTTTAACGGAGCATTTATGTTATAACAGAATGAAAAATCCATACGATCTCCATTGTCCTCACTGTGGAGACAATATCGATTAGGTCCATCAAACGCGGCAAGCTTGAAAACTTTATCGGAAATGACAATTTAATCTAACTCCTGTCCGGGAACTGGTCAGCCTTCCTTTTGTTAACTATTTTAAAGGAAACCTTCAGAAAATCAAAATCTTAAAGTGACATCCTGCTCATTGTTTTAACTGTCAAGTTGAGCTGAACTAGTAATATATTTCAAGAGATTGACAATTAAAATGATGATTGACCAATAATTGATAATGAAAAATGTTTAGAATAAAATATAAAAACTACCTAAATTATAAAAAAAAAGACTGTTCCACTCCGAACGAAATTTATAGAAATATCCGTGGGTCACCCGGATTATTGATTAAATATAAAATTGAACACAATCATGAAAAAAGTAAACTTATTTTGACCCACCATTTACACTTTGATGGGCATAATGTCACTTTATAATACATGTAGGATAATTATTTCTTCTATTTTAATACGTTAATGTAATCAGTTATGGTTATTAATTCATTAAGTGTCAATTACGTTCGAAACTGTATGAAATTCATTCACATTCTGTGTGTGAAAAAACTTGAATCTGCGAATCTATGAATTAAAGGCACACTAAAAAATATATAAAATACGTGAAGTAGCGTGCAGCTTTACTTAATGTATGCATGTAACATATTTGTTAAGGGTTGTCATGTTCATCTTACAGATTTTCTAAATATAGATAAAGTAGTAATGTATAAACTGACTGATACCATTTTAATTAAGAACTAATTGATCAAAATTTTAAATTCAAAATCAGGTTGATACAAACTTCAATATACTCAGAATTAAATCAAATATCGATTTTGAGCAATTCTTAAACCTATGTGAGCGAAAAACGTTGCAACGATATTCAATTTGGTCATTTTGCACAAAAAATGATTATTTCTGGGAAAACTGGGTGCAGGAATGATCTGGAAATTTGCACACAAGTTATTGGTACGGACCTACATCAAAGGGTACACTAATTTCGGAATAATATTTCCAGTCCTGTCATGCCAATAAAACCTCTGTGAATTCCCTTTAGTACAACATGTAAATAACGGAAATTTTGTTTTATATTGTATTTGCTAATTGATTGATCATGATACAGGATAAAGACATAAAGGCTAATATATTTACCAAGAAAATCTTGATAGTAAAATAATATCCCATCTGTATATACTTGCTAAAAGGACTAAACATAATGTTTACGCTAAAACATGTTGGATCCAACAATTATTTACTAGAAGTGTGTTAAACTACGAGTATATATTTATAAACATATCTATATCAACAACCAGGAAGCCTAGGTGAGTACAAAAATAACTTCGCAATAAGTGTGTAATTAGTTACCTTTTACCTTTATTTGTCTGGGAATGTAACTAACATTAAGTGGTTTTTACCAGTGGTCATTTATTCCTCAAACTTCATTGATTACTAAATTAACATCATAATTTGAAAACAAATCGAAAAAATATGTTTCGCTGCAATGAAAAATAAATTTTATAAGTGACCATACGGAAAAATGAAAATACGCATTTTATTTTATCAATATTTCTCAATATTTCATGTATAAGTATATGATAAAAAAAATGATATATTTGTAAATATTTGTAAATATATGTATATAATAAAGTTAAAGAAATGATAGATCTATATATTTTCCATAATTTCACGATTTGCTCATGTCTACACAATACTGATAAAATCCTTCAAACAGTGACTTTTCTTTTCAAGTGCATATCGTTGTGCCATTCAACACGAGTTAAGAGTTGGACACATGCCAAGAAACTGACACGTGCAATAAAACTCCCGTACTATGACTATTTTTTCAGTGTAATAAACTTATTGATAGATCATTACATTTAGAAAGAACAGGTTATATAGCATGTTTGTGTATTGATAGAAATTTCATCATTTTTGGAACATTTTAGTGCATATACTTTTTTTCAATTCAAGGTGCCATTTAATTCAAAACATATACAGTAAAGTCAATGATAAATACATGCATATAAATCAATTTTTTTTATTAATGTAATGACAAGGTTTTCGATATGTTGATCTTTTCCAACTTTAATCAATTACTGTGTTAAATGAAATGTTTCTATTGTATTGTAAATATACATTTGACAATGAATATACATAATATTATATTTATGTTTTTTTTGCCAGATAAAAAAGATGGTTAAGGCAATTGGCCAATGAGTACATTTTGGATACAATAAATGTACTACCAAATTAAAAAGCTCTTGAGAAATAAAAATGAAAGCATTTCTGAGACATAACGGGCCTTTAACATATACAAATGTAATGTTTATTTTCAATATCTAAGGTTGGTTGCTAAATTATAGTTATGGGTATAGTCATTTTATCTTTTAACCATCATTTTAATGTAAACGATGCATAATATTATATCTAGCCTGAAAATCCTATTTACCTAGAATAAATTATATCCGCCAATGTGCTCTCAGCACAGTTCTTTGTTTGAAAGAAGATTAGAGAGTAATGTCACAGTGTATATTATATCTGCAACTGCCTACTGAAAAAAAGATAAATACTGTTTTTTCCCCAAGTTCTTTCAATCGGGGAGTTTTTGCTCATTTTTTTTTTTGCAGTCAGCAATATGGGAGCAAAAATAAAAAAAATTTAAAAAACACCCGTGCCCCATCACTGCAAATAGATATAGAGTAAAATAAAGATTAAAGCTAAAATGTAAATGCTCGTAAATTAGGGTAAAAATCGTGTTTTGTTTGTAAACCTATTGTCTCTTAAAGATTATATCTGTCAAATGTAGCTGCAGTTTAGGAGAATTAGCAGTGTTCTCTCAATATATGAACACGCATTTTACTTCTTTTGCGTATTATTATTCTTTGGAAGTATTTAATTCTTTTGGACCTTTAGAAGCATTTTATTTCTATGAAAGATTTTTATTTCTTTATTATTATTATTTGGGTGTATTTTATTTCTTTGAGTGCATTTAACTTCATTAGAAGCACCCTATACTTTATTTCCAGTTCCAGTCGTCAATGTTCATACAAAGCAATACACAATACGTTTACTATTTTGTTGAAAACATAATTTAATTATCCCATTTAAACATTTACTTAAAGGCAATTATAAAATCTGCGATTCATTCCGTAGGAGTCAAAAATCCACTAAGGTCCGAGACCTAAACTAAAAAGCAACTCGTTTTATCCCTCAGACAACAAATACCTGCCATAGTAGGGGTTATAAAAACACTGACTCTTCATACATGCAAAATATCAAGTCTTTGGCCATGAAAATGTTTTGCTATTGCTAAATGTACCGCCATGTAACAATAACTGTCATTTACCAAGAATGCAGTCCACAACACTGTTTTACAGGAAATAGCGTTCATGACATTTATTATTAACAACATTTAATTTTTGGCCCTGGTTTCGAAATTTCCAGAATTTATCTTAGACGTTAAACAAAAACAAA